CTATCGTAAAACGTGCACCCGAGCCTAAAGAAGCGAAAGCTATCGTAAAACGTGCACCCGAGCCTAAAGAAGCGAAAACTATCGCAAAACGTGCACCCGAGCCTAAAGAAGCGAAAGCTGTCGTAAAACGTGCACCCGCTAAAGCGAAAGCTATCGTAAAACGTGCGAAAACTGTGTGAATAAGCTAAAGCTGTAATTGTAAAGCGTTCTCTGAATTTGTAAAATTTGCGGAATGCTCGTTACATTAAACGAATTTCTTAAACTATATATTATTGATTGTGACTACAGAGGGTGTCTATATGAATTCAACCACTTACATTTGGCTTAGATATCACGTTACACGAATGTCCAAAAATGTTGCTCACGTGTCAATTATATATTGCGTTCTCTTTTTTCTTATCCTGTTTTATATTCATTGTGTTCTCTTTTTCTTTCTCCCCCCATTTATCATTTAAATAAGATGAATCGGTCTGTATCGCAAGAGTACGAGTGGTTCACGGTGAAACGGCAATACGTTGATGAGTTGATTGAGCAGGAGCAACATTTTGATTCTGTTAAGTGAAAATTCGTTGATTCAGGATTCGTCGGCTGATTTTTTGATCCCGTATTCGGTTGTAGAGATTAAAACGTGGACGATTTGCAGCGCATCGGATAACGGAAATCTCCATGAACGAGTGCACCATATTAAAACTTTAGTCGATTTGGTCCACTACTTATATGAGCCCTTCACATCTTGATGGTTATCTCGTTGTGATAATTTAAAACTTTATAACCGGTTAAAGCAACTTGCACCCGAAAACTAGATAACGATAATAAAAATAGCTTGCATTTGATACACAGAGTCCATAAATACGTAATTTGCCGCATAACCCTCCCACCTCTATAGAAAATTTAAACCTTAATTTGGTCCAAATTTTTTTAATAAAACCAATTATTTTTCTATAAAATAAAGAAATCAAGATTCACAGTGCAATTTCTTAGAAATTTTAATTACTAAATTAATAGCCTTGTGGTGAAAATTTTCTACAGAGGGGGTGATTTATGCGGCAAATTACGGTAAACACTCTTTACAACAACATCTTAGATACAGAATTTCTCAAATATATATCTATATATAGTGTTACTCGGTATTAAGGGATCAACAAATGCATAAAGTATGGTTACACTTTGTATTTATTAGTAAAAACGGCAAAAAAAAATTTTCGTGTTTATTTTAACGCCTTAACATTATAAATAGACCTATTATATGGTATTAAAATTCAGGTTTTCTACTTTTGTTAATTATCCTTATTGTGATAACTATATTTTTTTTTCATAAATTAGCCAAATTATCATATCAGTTAAAGATCTACATATAATATATGTACACGTGTTAATGATAAACGTAAAGCGGTAAAATTCCTTGCGTTTAGCAATCTGTTTCTCGATAATTATAGATAATAATTAAAGGTAGTACTTTAAAGTAGAATAGTCTGAATATATTTGTGAACTTAACGCAGCTTTTCATTCAATATTTTTATTGCTTCATAAATTATTCCAAAGCCGCCTTTCACAAAGTATTTATTGATTAAATGGAATTACGATACTTGCAAAAATTGATAAGCGAACAGGTTAATATTTACAATTTTAGACAAATATTATCTTAACAGTGCTAGCGATATTGTTCACTTTCACAGATTTTTTACAATTTAATTACTATAATGAATTCCATACAATGGCAAATGTAAATCAATGACAATGAAGACGCTAAGACTTAAATATCGGAGTATTTGGATGAAATATAATAGTAAAATGTCATTGACCAGATTTTAGATTTTATTATATGCTATGTTTTTGGGCTATTGAATAAAGACTTGGCCATATCCGAATAGGCTTTCACAAAATAGGCAAGCTCATAGACTTGTAAGATATCGAAATTACTCGGACAAATGGAAAGTGGGTATGTACAGTCGACTCTCTATATAACGAAACTTTCTATATCGAACTCTGGATATAACGAACCTTAAATTTTTAAATTTTATATTAATTCGTTATAGAAAGTGTAGTGGGCTCTAGTGATTTTATATAACGAACTTTTTTTTACTACCAGAACCGTCAGTTCGTTATAGAGAGAGTTGACTGTTCAATGACAGCGTAAATCACACAAATCATGACAATGAGAAAATTCAAAATAAACAAACTCAAAACTCATAGACTTGCAATGTACTGAGCAGATTAGCATTCACAATAATTTTTTCTTCATTCACCGATTTGATTACTATAAATGAAGCTCTAACCTTCCACATTTTTGGGTACTTTTTGGATCTCATAAGAATCTTTCTTTAGCATTCATAATTTTTCGTGAGTACCATTGTCTTATATACCCATTCATTGACATTAACTCGTGACTTGTCTGCTAACTTCATATTTAGTTCTCTCTCCCAAGCAACATCATGAAAGCCTTTGATTTCTTGCTGTCTTTTGTAACGATTTTTTTAATCGTGGATGCTTCTGATTGCAAAGGACCTGTAGGAAGACAATCTGAAGGAATACGACCACTTAGTAAGACAGAAGGAGGAGTACCATGGGTGATTATTTTAAATTTAGTGTACTAGCTTATTTGTGAACTTTACCATATCTAAGTACTGTTTGTGAATACACCCTGTATGATTTCATTGACATTGCTAATTATATGCTCTCTTCGTGACGCCATCAGTTTCCCTGTAGAGACGGGACTTTCTGCACTCAGTTGATAACACGCTTGACATCTATTAGCTGTTAATAGTGTCATTTTTACTAACAATGTCATGTTTTCTTTGAGTTCAGTCATCTCCCAAATGCTGTGGAATAGACCTAAGACCAGGATTTGGGATAGACACAGGATTTATAGAACCGGGATCAGAATTTGTCACAACAGTGGGAATAATTAGTAGGCTCCGGTGCATTCCCGAGGTAATACCCTTAGTTTATTGGTTGTTATAACGCAAAATGTTGCTAATAATGCAACCTGTTGTTACGGTGGGAAATAATCTGGAATGTGAGAATTGCGTTATTGATTAGCCGTTGTTATAAAGCGAGTTTATTTTTTTATTTTATTTTATAGAATTTTAATTTATAGAATTCGGTTTATGATCCTTTCTTAGCAGTATTTTGTTCTTTGCATGCTTAAATTAACCTCCAATTAAATTATAATGATAATTCTAAATTTTTAATTATTCTATTTCTGTCAATAGTGCGCTGCCCTTCTGCAACGGCGAGTGGGGAGGATTTTGTGAAGTGTCGAGGTACAAAGATAATTGTTTGTTTGGCTCAGAGGTTACTTGCTGTCCATAACTTATAATAAATTGTAATTAGCATATCAATCAATAAATTAAGCTTTTTCAATAATTTTGAATTGGAAGTTGCATCTTTATTAACAAATTTCCGGAGATGCGATATCTCGTAATTGTAACAACTTCAATATCAACCAATCATATCTCCAGAGTCTTAACCGAACTCAGGTTAAAATGTGTTTGTTACCAATAACGATAACAGTTGTTACAAATTTATTCATATTTCTATTCCCAAAGTTATCAGACAAATTCCGTTTTCTTTGCCTTCGAACTAAATATTTGAAACACGAACTCTCGCGACTAGCGATCCAATTCCGCTAAAAATACCACCATTAGATTTGTAATGACTAGACGAATCGAATGGCAGATAGCATACGATTGAAAAATTATAGAAAATCATTTCCTCGTAAATTAATAGTGATTTTGCACATTATCGTTATTGGATAAAACAATGTATCACAAAAAATCAACCTAAGTAACTCTAATTTGGACTAGTCGAAGTGCTGTTTTGTTTTATAAGCATAGAAATGACAGAATTTGTCATTTTGATTGCAATCAAATTATTTATTGACAACATCAATTTATTTATTTTAATCATGATATAAAATATACGTATAAGAGAATTTCGAAAAATTGTTTAAAGCAATTAAAAAAATATTATAATTTCGGAAATCGAATTATGTAGTTAAATATTAAAGATTGTGACAAGATGTTATATCCTATTCTCTCGAAGCCGCTACCGTCATCTGAATCACCGCTAGGTCCCTTGATATCACTATTTTGTACGATAACAACGATGGGATTGAATGTTGATTGAGTATTACGTAGTTGTTGGTTGCATTTTGATTAATTAGAAATGCTCAGTGAGTGCGAAAGATTAAGAATTTAATACGATCTTGTTTTATCTTTTCTAACTCAATAGAGTAAAATCTGATGACCTCGATGAAGCACTTGCAGATTCTGCGCTTCTTTAAGAATTACCAGTGGGTCTTTTGATTGTACCGCTTGGAATAAAAATAGAAGAAAGATTTATTATTGGTTGGTTGCATTTTATTTTTGAATTATGCAACGCAAGTTCTGCCGTTAAAAACTAAAGCTGGCTATTAAATAGTTTTAGAATTGAACCAATTATTCATTATTCAATTCTTTATTATTATTATTCTCGAATGCTTACAGTGTAGTCTTTTCTTTATTATTATTATTATTATTATTATTATTATTATTATTATTATTATTATTATTATGAATTTTTTTGTTTCTTTATTTTTAATATGTTAATCTTTAACGTTAACGCTAATACAAGTACATTTTAAAAAGCACCTCGCGTACACTTATTATCAGTGATGGTCATTTGCTATTTGACCAGTGACTTTTGGTCACTGCACTAAATTTTAATATTAAAATAAGGTCATTTAGTAGGTCAATTTGAGGTCATTGTCCAACACTGCTTATTATCGTTATGTATGTTTTTTGAATTATAAACAAACATATAATAAAATACATTGCGATTTATCCTGTATTCTTGTATCATTCATTGTTAATTTTATTATTATTATGAGGAAAGGTGTATTTATTTATCCACTATACAACTAGAGATGTTATTGATTATAGATAAACCGGTTCAGCGTCAGTTCTACAACCGAACCGATTACGTAAATCGGTTTAACTTCGGTTAAATCAATTTAATTAAACATTAATTTTTAATTTTAATTAATTACTTAATTTAGAAAACAAACGCGTACATAATATTATAAAATAAAAAATGTCTTGTATTATATACAAACTATTTCTTTATGGATATCTCAAATTTTATTGAAAGCGGAGTACTTGAATTAGAAATATTGAAGAATTTAATAATATCAAAGAAGATAATTATGAACTTGAAACTGAACTTGCAAGTTCATCTATATCCGAAATTGAATCTACTATATCCGGAAGTGAATCTATTATCAATAAAAATCGGCACAACCAAACATCTTGTTTGGAATTATGTATGGGTATGAAAAACATTATTTGTAATCTATGTCAAAACACATTCAGCAAAAAAACATCAACTCGTCCTCTTATGGATCATCTTAAATGAAAGCGATATGATAAATTATCCTGGCCTGGCTCGATTTTTCCACTTTTTCATCCAATTAAAGTCACGCATGTGATTAATCAACCGCGGTTCAAACCACCAACCGGGATTTTTCAACCAAACTGAACCGAGTCGACCTGATAACATCCCTAGTCGTATCAAATCCATGATCACAGTCTCAAATTGAACACATGATAATTATCCAATAAAATTACAGATTATGAATAATATGAAAATGCAAACATGTAACAAAAAACAGAAAAATCATAAATAACTCAAAGATTTACTATGACAAATATCTTTTGAACTTTAAACAAAAAATGTCCAGCACAAAATTTTACATGGAGTAATATTTTTGTCAGGCAAACGAAAGATTTCTTTCCGAAAAAATATCATGTGCCCACAAATTCATCACGTGGCGATATCAGAATTTTTGATTGGTTGCTGTGGGTGGCTCTGCTCAGCTTGACCTGTCTCAAATTAATGGCGATATATGAAAAGTGACGAACTTTGAACTGCTATTACTCTGAAAAATTAAGTAAACTAAAATCAGCTTTCATAAACTGAAAGCTGGTGAGCTATTTTATAGATATATGAAGAGTTTTTTAGATACATGTATTTTGTAAAAGTGTGAAAAAGTTTAAAGTTGATCAAAATTTTATTGATGGCAATGGAGGATCGCTGAACAAATGAATTCTTAAACCCAAAATGCCATCACTATAATATAAACACTACCGCTGCAAATTTAAATTGCCCAAATTACATTTTCTTTGTGTATTAAATTAGGGGGTTTCATAACGTGACTGCGACATGTTTCTCCAAATCGAATAATTTAAAATCGATTTACGTACTTGAGATTATTTTTCCCAACTTCCACACAAATAATACGAAGAAACTGAGACTATTGACAATGACGATGTTTTTTCTTCATTCGAAGATCTCTAGCAGAAAGTAGTAATTAATAATTACAAAAGAAAGTAATACAAACAAAGTACAACCAAATAAACGCATCAGAAAACAAACAAACCAGGTCTAGAACCAGTGTTGTCACTTGGACGTAAATCCAGCAATTTGATTGGTTGGGACAAGTGTCCTGACCAATCAAATTGCTGTATTTACGTCCAAGCGACAACGCTGCCCTCGACCAATCATAACAATCGTAAGAAGATTAAATCTGAATATGACAAATCATTATTATTAAACTGATGACAGATACTATTTTGTAGCGCTACATTTCTGAGAAGTGGGATTATGAATACTTATATTTGATTATATAAAAAAGTCGTGTTTAACTCACCACCCGGTGAAACCCAATAAACTCGGAAATAAATCAATTAAACTAAATCGCGAGATCACCATACTTAGATCACGCTTATATAACATTTCTATTTAAGATGAATGACTAAAGTATATTATTTGCCAATGATGTTTGAGCTTCCCGTTCTTGGGCTTGGTGTTATTTTTTATACTCATCGCCTTTTTGGACTTGGAGATATATACTCCTCCCCGTAATTGGGCTTGGAGACAGTATACTTCTTCAGTGATTTGTTGATGTCCGACACAGCACCGTTTGCAACTGCTTCTACTTCTGGATCATCTAATGTTAATAATAAGAGTTTTTTTTATTTTCTTTATACTCTTCGCTTGGCGATACTCCTTTCCGTAGTTGGGCTTGGAGTTACTGATGTTTTTGCGCCTCTCCCATTCTTGGGCTTGGAGTTATACCATTATAATAATTTTATCTGAGGCTTTTCTTTATAATTATTAACGTTAAGCCGCTCATAAATAATTTACTGTTTTCTTTTTTTAGATTGTAAAAAATCGTTATGGCGCGTGACAAGATGGAACGGGGACTCTGTACAGTGCTATACATGTATGCAGTGTTGTCACTTGGACGTGAATCCAGCAATTTGATTGGTTGGGACAAGCGTCTCGACCAATCAAATTGCTGGATTCACGTCCAAGTGACAACACTGCATGTATCGCCTTGGCTAATTTTACAACATGGCAGATATGACATTGCGAATATCTGAAACCTCCTCACGTGGTGTAAGAAGGAACCGAAGAAGAAAAGCACAAGTTAGTCAACGTCGCAAACAGTATACCACAATTTGTGGATGCATGGATGAAAATGACGAACAAACAGGATGGACGGAAAGTAATTTTGCGCATTTGTTACACTCTATTCTATCTGTGTCGTGTAAGGTTTCTTCAAATACAATATTTGGTATAGCCAGATGTCAAGATAGTCTTCAGATAATCAACCTTCTTCCTGTCCTGCTGGATTCCGAAAACATTTCTATTGGTGCCTAAAATCCCACCTCATCCTAACAAAAACCGCTGTGGATTAACTATAAAATATTCAGTGATTTAGTAAAAATTAAACGCGAAAATAGTACTGTATATTATTGAAATCAGATATTTAGTTCGGTGCCGGTTTGAAAATTTTGTATATTTACAAAAGCTACCGGATCTTTCATTCGTAAATCAACCGCCGCGGTATATTTAATGTTATTTAGTGAATTATTGTTTTGAAGATTGTACATACACGGCCTTTTTATATTTGTTATTTGACTGATCTCATAGGATCGCGCAAAGTATTTCAGCCGAGAAAGGCTGCCACCGTGATGACTTTGATTGTATATACGTAAAGAGACGGATATTTTTAATGTGATGCTTACAAATAAATTTGTATATTATTAGCGTTAGTTTCGTGGAAACATTCTTGTTCAGTGTGATCATTTACATGATGGTAAGGCAAACAAACATCATTGATTAAAAGGAAAGAGAGATGAGTTCTATGCTCGCAAGAACAGTTTTTTAGAATAATAATAATACTCTTTCCCCAAGTAAGTCATAAAAATGTTGACATAGATGATGAGCAAAGAAAACTACGCGTATAGTGGTTCGCTCGTTTTTTCATTAATTTGATTTATAGTATATACCAAATAAAACGGATTCGAAACACTCACGCCCCCCAAGACATGCAATACACGAGAAACAAACATAATCGCATGTAAAACTGTACGCATGTAGATTGTACAATGTAAATTAATTAATTAGGATTGAATTTAATTGTTGTATACGTGCAACTGTTCGAAGTCGTTTCTACACAGAAGAGTGTGTTAGTTTGGGATTCTTTTCAGGTTGGTGGTTAAATAAAACTTTATAATAGAGTTCGTGAGGAGATCTTTTTTTCTGTCAAATTCAGCATTGGATTGATTCTCACATATTCGTTTCAATTTAAACCGGTAAATATACATAAAATTACATACAATCAATCAAGTAATTCTTGTGTTCTCTCCGCGAGTTTCTTTTTTAATATCGATACGTATGCTTTCTTGAGTTCTCTCTATTGTACCAATTATTTTTATTTATGTACATTCGCCAACTTTAAATATAAAAGAGTTACACCAACAAACTATACATGTATGTATGATCATTGAATTAACACCAAAAAATTTCATACAGTAATTAATCAATTGATTTAATAATACAATAACGAGAACGAATCAAATGATCGCTACTATTAAAGATTAAGAGAGAGAAAAAGAACCAAAGTATAACGCGTCGCTTCTTTTTTTACTCTTCTTTATATGTCATCGTCACATACTAAAGTCGTCGATCTTACCTTTTTTCGACAATAATAAATTACACGCTCTATCGCATACATAGAGTAATTAACCATTACATGTATAATAAATAATCTAAACAGTAATATAATAAATACATCAAAAACGCTGAAACTCTAATCTCTTTCCTCCTTTTCCTTTTTTCCTCTTTTCCCTCCTCCTCTTCTCCTCCTCTTCTTTCCTTCTCTGGTTAAACGCCAACCTTAACCTTCGAACACTGCATTTTTTCAACTCGCAATCCTTTCCTCCTCTCTCGCCCAAAATTTTTCTTATCACTTTACCAACACTACCCCTAATCTAACCTTCTAGCATTCATACACACACAGAGAAAAAAAACGGCACGCTTTTTACAAAAGTAATAGTAATAATATTAATATTAATCTCTCGCCGAGAGCAAGAGAAAAAAGTGTATTATTTCTTTTTTCATTCCAATTACGTTTTTGTTCCAATCAAGAATATCATATCGCATATTATTCCCTCATAATTTATACTTTTGGAAAAGATTCATTTTATATCCTATTATATACATACACATTATCGAACAAACGGATTCATCTATATATTATAAGGTAACGTAAAATTATTCGTTTATTTTAATCCATGTGTGTGAGTCAATTAAATCGAAGAAAAGTGGTTAGTCTTCTTTCTTTCCTTTACGTTTAAATGTGAGAGAAAAGCGGAAAGGATTTGGAAATTGGATTGGATAATCTGGATGAGGTGTCCGTTTAGAAATCACCGAATGTTGATCAAAGACGGAAAAACCTCAGTTGTCGGACATTAAATGTTTTCATTATTTTTTTAACCAATATACCAATTCAAAAAAGGAAAAATGGATCAACTCCGAATCCGAATCCGAATCCCAATTTTAAATCCCTTCTTTATTACGATTACTGTTACTAGTAATTTGAGTGGAGATCTTTAATCTTTTTCTCATCCTTAATCGTAGTTAATCGATGTAAATAATTTAATCTTCACTTTGTTCGCTTGTCGTCGCAAGTTCGACGACAGTTCAAACATTTGGAAACATATTTCTTATTCGTACATTACCTAGAGTATATATATTATTGGAACCACGTGTTCTACTGTTTGGTTTTGGGTATAGGAAAAGGAAAAGGAAGGAAAGGAAAGAAAAATATAATTTTTGTATATAGAAAGTAAAAAAGTAGAAAGAAGTTACTTTGCTTTCTAAACCGGCATATAAGTTACCTGAGAAAGACAAAGACGAGTGACTTCTCTTCTTCCCACTTAGACATTTATTTCTCCAACTAATTACTTTTCTTGCACTTCATACTCGCACACGACAATCCCCTCATTCAACCTCATCGCCTCATTACTAATAATCATATAAATTCCGTAATTTTTAGAGTCACTTTGTGTGAACACGGACAATTAATTGACGGACTATTAACAACCTTAATAATAAACACGTCGCTAGGTCGACTATTCATTAATAATAGAACATTACTTAATTCCAATTAAATAGCATATACACAAATCCACGCATACATACATATTTACATAGTCATAGAGGAAGCAAAAAAAAGAAAGGGCACTCATTGAGCAAGCAAATGATGATCACATCAATAAAACAACTTTCATCAGAACACTACCAGACATTATAATCGAAAACATTATAGTCAGAATAATTATTTAATTGATCACGAAGAAAAATGAAGCTATTCTCATCATCAACACGAAATTTGCAATGTCTTATATGGGCCTTGCTGGCCTTGGCTGGTTTGGTTCATTCGGCGCCGACTTCGTCTGCCCCCGCTGTTGTTCCTACAGGTATTTGAGCTTTTATTTCTTATCATGCTATATTTTGGCAGATCAACGAGATTCAAAGGTCTTATTTTTGAGTGATAGACAGAGATCGATAGTATAATTATAATTATTTATTGATGCCATTCGATCAACCAAAATCGATCCGACACGATCAATTATGAAATAATTACAATGGTTCTAATCTACAACCAAAACAATCTTCTTTTAACAATACGCAGATCCTTTACCAGCAGTAACAGCGACAGCACCAGCACCGGCTGCTTCTGCACCTACACAAGCAAACACAGCACCTGCATCAGTATCACCCGCTGTTACTTCTAACGCTGCACCTCCATCTACTGCTGCTGCACCACCTCCCTCGTCTTCAGACAAAATTCCAGAGCAACCTTCACAACCGCAACCACAACCGCAAACACCATTGGTAACAACAGTAGTCACCAGATCAATAGCTACTACGGTTATAGCTGCAACAGCCACGACAACCACAATTAGTTCTCCAACAGTGACAACTCCAGACAGCAAGCCCGTTTGTATCCCCGATACACAAATTCCAGGAAATCTTGTTTGCGCCGATTCGACATTGTATTGTGAAACAACGAGTGGCACTTGTGTGGCGAAACTAGCAAACAATCTTCCTTGTCTCGACGGGAGTCAGTGCGGAACTGGATACTGTCTAAATAGTATTTGTGCTGATGCTCCAAACAATGCAACCAATGGTACTAGTTCTCTTGATGGAAGTGGCAGCTCAGGGGGTGGAAACACTGGCGTAAAAGTAGGGATTGTGGCTGGAATTGTGGTTGGAATAATGTGCGCAATCGGAATCGCTTTTTGGGTCTTTAATTATTTGCAAAGACGTAGAACGAATAATGGTTCACGTTCTAGTATTATTAGACCTCCGAGTTATTATAATAATGATGGGATTGGTGGTGGTATTGGTGGATTTGGTAGTGGAGCTGTCGGTAGCGGAAGTGGTCACCCATCCATGCATACCGAAGAAATGCGATCAACCGAACCAGTGTACCCGTTTTCAGGTCGAGCTGCTGCATTCTCAAATAATAGTCCTCCGCAAACTTTGCCGCCTGCACCACTAGAACACGGTCATACACGTATAGGAAGTATGGGTGATCCGACTCAACGTCGTACAAGTTTCTATTCAAACGGAACAGCATTTATTAACGGCCCAAATAATAATTACAATGCTCTTGACGAATCTAAAAACAATGTTAGCATGTCTCGTGGCACACCAGTCCTCAATAACAATAACGATAATGGACAAATGCCACCACAGCCATACAACAATTCCAGCTATCATCCTACTACTCTTTCAAAAGATTGGGATCTGTCAAATAATAGGCATCCGGCAATTGGTGCGTCGCCTCATAATCCTCAACAAAAACAACTACCACCACCACCACCACCTAAGGATATTAATAATTATCATCGGATTAGTGATCGATTGTCAAAGTATAATTATCTTGCGAAAGCATTTTCTCATATGCGTACATCATATGATCATTCAGCATCACATAATGATGCAGCATCTCCGCCGCTGTCATCATCCTCATCATCATTATCATCATCATCAACAAAACCATTAACACAACAACAACAATTGCAACAGCATACAAAATCCAATTCCGAATACTCCATAATAAAACCAAACAACGTGAACATTGTATATAACGTGGCAGGTCCTCAACAAGGCAAAAAATTACGTAATAATTTACATGAAGCCGCGAAAGCCATTCATGAACAAGAAAATAAATTGAAAGGTGGCGCTGTTGCAACAACCAATACACAGAAATTAAATCAGGATTCTGCACGTCGTGATTCGGCTATATTGCCGGGTGACGATGAAATTGTTCATTCCACTACTGACTCGTTGTATTTGGGTGTTGGGGCTGATGCGTTAGTAGAACCGGTTGATTATACATCACCAACTGGTAATGGTCGATACAAAATGTCATCAATGTACTCGACTTTTTCGCGGGATTCAATTATTTTTGCAAATATGCCGGAGATGCCCGAGATGCCTCCCCTCACCGCTTTTAATTTTGGTGGTATCACATCTTCGACCTCCGCCTCACCAAAGTCATCACCACCATCTGCAACATCAAACACCCCCAAAATCCCATCGCATAATCATACTTTATCAAAAGATTCTTTGGCCTCACTTAACAAAGTTCCTCGTGCATCTGTGTACACATTACACGCGCCAATTTTCAAATCATATCAATCTTCGCCTGAACATCAACGAAACATGTCTTCGTCTTCGTTACGGTCCCAAATAACTCATCAACGGAATATGTCTCAGACCTCGCAATCATCGGTATTGCGTCATCATCGTGATTTCTCAAATTCTTCACAAGTGCTCAATCCATCTCCGTTAGGTCCAGGTCATTCACGTAATGTCTCAGAAGCATCAAAATTAAGTAGTACTAGTAGTAAATATAGTCAAAGCAGTAGCGTCTATAGTTCTGCTAATTCCGATTCTGATACATCAGCCACCTCGAAAGTAACAGTTTCCCCGACTTTTGGTTTCAGCGAAAATAATACAAAATCATCAATGATCACCTCCAACAACAACATTGCCAATATTGACGACAATAATAACTCGTTATTAACAAAACCTTACAATGTCGATCGTGAATCAACAGCCTCATCATTATCCGACCTAACATCGAGCGCCTCCGACGTGGAATACGACTACGTAGTTCCAGAAATGAGCACCATCGAAGAACGCATGGCCGAAGATGAATTATACGCTATGTCACACTCATCAACTTATTCAATGAGGACAAGTGAATTGGATCTTGATCAGGATTTAGACGCGATCCGACAATTCGCCGAAGATGCTTGGGGTATGCTAAATGGCGGAATTGATACGTCGGATAGTAGCGCGACGAGTAATCAAAATGGCACGTTTTCTACCAAGACGTTGTCTAGGAGCACTAGCCACTTGTCGAAATCTTCGACAGAGTCTACGGCTACTATTACTGGTCGTGCTCCGTTGAATGGTAGTAATATCAATTATGGATTACCCATTGTTGAGGATGATGAGGATCCTGATTATCGGTTTTATTAATTAAATGGTGATTTTGAGTAAAAGATGATATGGAGATCTTTATTAACATGGATTGTTTCCAAGATCAAAAAGAACGCACACACACATTAATAGTACATCCCTTTAATTCTCGGCCCTACCATCCCTTTAAATACTCCGCTCGAACTTTGTGTGTGCATATAACGAAAATAATAAATTGACCTTTTCCCTCAACAAAAAAGCTTGTATTTTTACTTATGATTATTACTTTTTATATTATCGATTATTACTTAGTTTATATTTATTATCATCCTCTCTGTAGATTATATTATTTTTGAAAAGTGTACTTTTTTATATTAATAATGATGGGTAGTAATGTTATATCGTTGTCGTGTAATATTTCTTATTAAAAGAAAAACCAACAGAGTTGTTTTTTGTCTTTTATTTTTCAACCGATTTTAATTATTACTTGACAAGTGCATTGTTTATAATTCAGGTTCGCAACTATTAGATATTCATTAGACAATTATGATTAATATTCATGTGATTAAATTATAAAACCAAGTCTCTTTTTATAAACTATTTTATTATTAAATATTTTGTTTCACCTATAAATTGCCCAGAACATGTTATAGTATTAGCTTTCAAATGTTACTTTAACAACTTGAAATATCGAAACCGTCAATATTTAACTTCATTTGCTATAGATTTGTTATATTCTAATCATTCCCTTTGCGTTAAGTTGCTTTTCTCTTTGATTTCAGGACTAACATTATTAGGTTTGCTATTCTTCACTAAGATAACTATAAATAAGTATAACGTACTCTTCTTAGTATATAATCAAAAAAACTGTCTTCTTTCGCCATCATCCAAGTTAATATTTGTGATCTGCGAGAAACAAAATAAAGCTAATGTTCAAATCCTTAAAACATTACCTCGTTGATAGACAATAGGAAGGACGCAAATGAATCCAGAAACATCCTAATTGACACAGACCCTCTGCTGTTCTCGTATACTAGATCTGCCGTCCCTCTATCCGTAACGAAGGATATTTCCAATAATATTTATTTGCTTTGATTCGAGATTCTTGAGAGTTTTAACGATGGATGCATATGTTATGTTCTCGGGCTTATGATGAAACTATTTAGATCAACAGCAACATATCTCTTACACAGGCTGTACTTTCCATAACTGTACTGAAGTGCATAGCAGCAGACACCAACGAGGCCTCTGTGCCCAAGCGTATGTCTGCAGTAATGCCAGTTAAATCGAGCTCGACCGAGTTCGCCACAATGTAATGCCTAAGGAATTCTCTTCGCTAAAAGGAACGGCAATCAATTCTCCTTGACGACTAAATGCTGAAATAGTATTTCTCGGGCATGATTGACAGAATGTCTCGATGGTTTCGACGTTTGCAGCTGCCAAAGCGTGAAGACAATATGTCGTCCTTGAGAGTCCGTAGCACGTCGAAGAACATGTCATAGATATCGGAGTTCCAATCGATCAAGACCGAAGCCTCATCAATTATGAGAGCGATGGGATATGAATTTTTCTTCCGCAAAATGTTTCCTGTTATGTACTCTCGTTAAAGTGAAAAAGACTACTCGGTTTGCGTAAGATCAATATTCTCGGTCACCTCAAAGTTTGTCTCATTTCTTTAACCAGTTGAGTTTTGTCACCTAAGCTACAGTCGACTTGCCACTTTGACAGTGCCCATACATGAGGCAGTAACGACCTTAAATGAGATTCTCCTCCAGTTTTTTAACCATTTCAGGCTCAACACAGAAGTTGCAGTCTGGGTTAACATACCCGACCGAGAAGAGGCGACAATCTGCACAAAAAAATAGTCAACTCAGAGTAATACTCGATAAACTCTGCAAAACGGACATTCTGTGCAAATTCACGAAGCTTTGTACTGCTTAGGGTGGAGCTTCCTTCTTCAGCCTTTCTTTTTCTCAAGCTTTAATGGTTAGTAAGACACACAAGTTAATTAATTACAAGAACATTTGAACACCTTAATAAACTTTGCGATGGCTTTAGCTGGTCCTAGTTTCAACCCACAGCCTTGAAGTTCTCAACTCATTGCGAAATATTTGAAAGTCTCGTCATCTGGAAGTGGATATAGCAGCTCTCCTATATTTTTGTCTATTTGTAACACAAAAGATCTTGGGAATTTAATTATTGCCATCTAACTAACACACAACTTGAAGCAACCATGTCCGATTCTGAAGGGTAAGCATCACTAAACCTAAAAAAAGTTGACAATATACTTTTTAATTAATTAATGAGCTTTATCTCTCTATGCATATAAAAGCGAAAACGTCATAATTACTCTTCAAACAGGTAATTTACATTTGGTAATTATTATTAGTATTCCAATTCCTTTCGATATACTCTTGCTAAAAGCTCAACTTTACATATCATTAATTAAAAGTTGGTTTTGATGCTCGTTTCCCAAACACCAACCAAACAAGACACTGCTGGCAAAACTATGTCGACTACTATAAATGTATAAACGCCCGTGGCGAAGATTTCCCTCCTTGTAAACAGTTTTTTAAGGCGTATCATAGTTTATGTCCTGCATATTATGTAAGTTAACATTTTACTCAGATTTGGTGTTATTTGAGTTTAATTTTGCGGGTCTGATTTATTCAATGTAAATTAAACGGTCTTTATATCATGGATCTGATTTAAAATGGTGAATTTATTTACTAATTATCATTTAACTCTTGTCAACAGAAAGAAAAATGGGATGGTCTTCGTCAAGATGGAACTTTCCCTGTTAAATTGACGCCATAGCTTTACATCTTATTTTTATTTTGAATCTTTTTGGTAGTCTTATAATGGTTTTAAATATATCGAATTTTTCGAAAAAACAAAATTATCAATCAATCATTCCAAATTTTATAATTGTGTTGAGGAGTTCCCCTTAATATTTCGAATATGCTCTCAAGAAATAATTACGCTAATGTCATGGACCAGAAAAATGGCATAACTATCGCACAAATTCGATTATCAACCGATTTTTATTTAGGTCTTGTATAGGACGTATAATAATTATCCACATCATTATTCATAATGTTGTTAGATCAACGGAATCGCTACAAACGACCAAAGAATCAAAACGTGTATCTGTAAAGTTGTGTATGGAGCATTTACGATTTCAAATAATGTACTATTTATTCAAATAATGCTTTTTTTAATTATGCCAGTGTGTCAATAAATCACGCACATTCACCTCCTTATTGTCAACAAGCCATTCTCCATCACGCTGAAAAGTTTCCTTTGTCCATTTCTCGAGGAGTTCATCATCATCATCTATCATTGCATTATCTGTCATGATGCTTTTGTTTTGGAAAGCTGGTTGTGTTGAGATCTTTTTTATCATCTTCATCTATGGTATCATTAGAGAATAGATAGCCAACATAAGAAGGCAACAACACCACTTTAGAAATACATACAACATCTTCCTCAAATTGTCTTCTTCTCGAGTAATTTTCGGTAATTGATATCACAGTTAGATTATTTGCAGAAAGTGTCTCAGATCGGAAAGCAATTAACTTCTTGTCAATTCATACAGATCCGTTTTGATGTTAATAATTGTGGGGGATCATGATGAAAAACGGATTATGATAATAAACCATAAATAACATTATTGCAAAATTAATTCAAGTTATATATTTATGTATTATCATTATTTTCAAAATATTGCGCTTTTATTATAAGAATTTTATTAATTTTCAAGAGAACACTGAACAAAACATAATTGCATAGAGCAAAATATGAATCCACTAGATCAAAGAAATATCCTCTACATAGTCTAACTATCAGATTCCCGAAATAATATTTTAACCTCAACACGAATAATCAAGTCTATTCATATTGATCCCTTAATGGTGCTAATTTTTTGCGATGCTAACTTCAGAGTATCGGCTCACCCTTCTTTTCTTTCTATGTTCGATCAATCCCTTTCGTGTTGAATTAACACATAACTATATTTACAAAAAAATGCAATTGTTAATTTGATGAGCACATAAAATGCAGATAGATAATGAAAGCATGCAAGTACTTACAGCCCATTTGACTACTGCCTCGTATAACCACACAAAGTTTGGCATATCAACCCAGTTTTTTGGTAGGCCGAAATGATCAACCTCGAATAACCTATGTACACCTGGAATTGAATGATTAACTTCCTGATTATATGGAACGTTTAATAAAATTTATGTAATACATACTTCTAAAGTCCATCATTGTCAGTGACAATTCAGTTTTAAAAGCAGTTAAACCATAAACTCTCAAGTCTGTAAAAAGTTGTCGGCGTGCATCTGCTTCTTCTATAACAATATTATTATATAATACTGCCATATTACTTGCATTCTTGATATCGTCATCCACATTTTTTTTGTGGTGCTCCCGGTCGTGCTCCCTCACCACATGCTATAGGGTAATTTACCACGTCATTGAGAAATCCTACTCCATCGGCCCGTATTCTAGTTCCAAGACCTTTCAAAGGTATTTCACCACTATATAATATAAAAACATTTTATTCATAATATAATTTATGTAAACATAGGTTCAAAGCTACTTACTATATGTAATTAACCTTGGCAAAATTCCACAATGCCGAGTCAATTATAGGGTGTACAAACTGGTTAAGATGCGGTTTTTCCAGGATTGTAATATCCCTCAACGGATTAAGATCCTCCAATGAAAACGCTTTTAAACTAAAACGAATAAAAAATATATAGTAAATTGGAAAAATATTACTATAATAAGTTGGGTAAGTTCTCTCTTGTCCTTACAATTTAGGTAAAGTTTCCTGTATTAATTTTTTAATATTCTTCAAGTGTTCTAAATCACATCTATTGAACTCCATATTGTTGATGGCATTATCCCAGCCCTGCGCAGTGAAATCTTCATTGAAAAACGATGTATGGTATTCGTGGATATCATCAGTAATATAGTTGTCAATTTCATCAAAAACTTCGCGCAAAATGGTTTTTTGAAGTTCCAAATCCAGAAATAATGAAAATTTTGAGTTTGGACGCAGATCCATTATAGATGTCTTAGGGAATTTACTTAAAAAGATTTTTGTAACTTCCTTTATGACGGATGAAACTTGAATCGAGTCTTCAAGGATATCCTTAACACACATCGTCTATAAAAAATAGAAAATCATTATTTTTCCTAAAATACCAACAGAAAATATTACCAGAGACGAATTTTACTAACACTACTTTCATTTTCTTCCTGTTTATTTTCTTCCGGTTTATTTTCTTCCTGTTTACTTTCTTCCTGTTTGTTTTCTTCTTGTTCATTATTAACAGTAGTCTGTGTTTTTGTAATGGAATCTTGATTTTCAGAGCCCCTGATGTCATGATCGTTATTCAAAGACTGGAGTATATCAAGAGATCTCAATAAAATCATCGATTGGTTTATTTTCCAGGAATTTATTAAATGATTAATACCTGCTCTTGCAAATTTTTCGGTAGTCTTTCCTGTCATGACCGTTTTATCAGTAACGACACTTAATTCAACATTTATTTTATATCGATTCTATGATAATATAAAAAATTAATCTTTAATCATAAAGTACACACAATAGATCAGTGTTACCAACCTCAGCAAAGTTTAGATCTTGACTTTCAATGAAATTCAAAATCTCTCTTCGTTTGTGAGAGTCTCCTGCAGGTTTTCAAGAAGCTTAATAGCCTTGTTTCTTGCTGCCACGCGAAGACTTTTGTGATCAGATAAAATTTCTAATTATCTTTTCAAGGAGTCACTAATATCATTCATATTTTCACTTGTTATTTGATATGTAGCGCAGGACTTCAAGTACACGCCATCCGGTATAATCATTCAACCGAAAGTAATTTATAATTTGATTTTCGAAATCCATCCTTATAAAAATAAAATTATTAAAATTATTAAAATTATTATATCCACAAAAGAAAAATGCAAAAGTCAAAACATGCAAGAATGATACGAAGATACTGGCTTGATGCAATGCTTTCTGGTTAGAGAATGGAAGGCGTAAACTACCATGAGAAAGTTTGCCTCAGTGGGCAAACAATGCGTCAAAGAGGGTAGCCCCCCAGATCTCTACCAAGCATCCGCCACAGAGAGGTACATAACGCAATTGCTATGCTTCGCTCTGCAGGTGTAGGAAGCACTACGTCCAATATACTAGAGACAAGAACGCAGGCGTGAACTACAATGAGAGGCGAATGAACAATGCGTCAAAGAGGATAGCCTACGCCTTGCTCTAAACAACAACCGCAGGAATTAACTAGATAATAAAGCAATCTCGCTCTGCCATACGGGTGTCAGATATTGTGGGTCGCCAGAAGTAATCTGATTTCAACTTGCCTTAATAATAGCGGTGAAAAAGAAAAATATTTTTGTTGATCGATTTCGCGTCAATCGGTTTAATGGATACGTAGGTGATGTTTTCCGATTTTTTGATAAGATAACGATCACATGTCACAATCTCAAACAATGGTTTAAAGAACTGTTATAAAAATTTTTAACGTTGTCTGCTTTCAAGTTCACGAATACGCATTGTTAAGGTAATATGATTCAATCAAATCCAGCAATCAGAAATAATGATCAACATTATTTTAGTCGAAAGTTCCGAACACGCAATTAAGGTATGAATACTTCATTTGTGATAGTGCATTCCAATGAGCCATCTTCTGGACTTACAAACTTATAACCACTCTTTCGTACAGATTTCCGAGAAATTTATTAAGGCAGGCAATATAAACTTTCAACCTTCTTCTCTAGAGTTCGAAAAAGGTAAGTCCAGATAACGGACAACCAACTGATACACATTGGGAGATCGCATGCTTCGTATAACCATTTTTATTCTATCCGGAATAAAACTGGATCATAATTAATGTTGTAGTTTAGATATATGGAGAAATTATAGTGTTGTTACCGGGTAATAAATTCGTCAATCTCTCGATTTTGGTAAAAACCGTCTAGCCCGATTTCGTTAATTTAAATTCGCTTTTGAAATTCTATTTTTATTTCACTTTTGTTTTCTATCTTAATTTCGCTTTAGATCTTGCTTTTATTTTTTATTTCTTTTTCTATTTTAAATTCTCTCTTAAATAATAGAATGCATTATGCAATGAGTTCTGAAATAATGTAACAAAAAAATGTATATATAGTCCTCGCGGATGTTAATAAAAAAAGAACAGAATTAAATTGCATACAATTCTTCTCCAAGTAAAATTAAACTTGTAAAAATTGTTGTAATTGATTGTGATTAGATCCTTTAGTCCAGAAAAGGCATTAATATTATTAAATCAGCATATTGATTGATTGATTGAAAAAGCACTTTGTGATTAAATAGTTTAAGACTTTTAGCTAGAAAAAGCAACAGTTGAAAGTTAATAAGAAGAATATTGTCAATAACCCATCACGTAAAAACTTAAATCCAAAAACATCTTACCTACAAACTGACTCATTCAAACTTCCCTCTCTACTATCATACTGAAATGATATCTGTAGATATTGACATGAGAATTAGAAATAATCAAGTACTACTTAGTTTAATTACTCCCTCCAACTCGTTGTTATAGATAAAATCATCGATTACGTCTAATTACAATCAACCCATGACAGTGTAGACACTAGTATGTAATTATAAATAGAGTTAATTCTTTTATAATAAATAAAGCAAAGACACATTAATACATTTTTTACATCAATATTATTTCATGTGATTAATCTTTTGAATATATCTTATTTTGTAATAAAACAATATCAAACGATCAATTAACAATCAATACCTTGAGAGAATTAAACTTTAGGCTTGTATCTGAGATTACTGAACTTAGAAAAGATAATGCTAAAATTCCTAAACTTAGAAAAAAATTTTCTGAAGTTGAGATCAAGAATATCAAACTTAAAGTTGAGAATGTAAAATTAAAACAAGCTTTGAAAGAATATGAATTCAAATTTATGAAATTGAAGCAGAATTAAGATTGCTTGCCGAAATCTCTTAGTGACCGTTGAAATTCTGTCAAAATTATAATAAACTATTAGTAAATAGCCCGTTGTTACGGTCCAGAATTATCCTTAATTCCTTAATTTCTTAATTCTGATCATGTGACTCAACATAGATTGTAGAGATAGCAGAGATAGCA